GAAGCCAAACCCGGCGCTGCCCTGGAGAAGGAAGGGGAAGGCATCTCCCTGTACCCAGCTCATGGTGGTAGGTCCCCATGCACCCCAGCTTAGCCCTGAATGAGCCCCCCTTCCCCACTAACCAATGCTCACCTTGATGCCTGCATCACCTTTTTCTCCCTGCAGAACAGACAAGCGGAAGGACAGATGTCAAACCAAGACACAGCACGGGGATGCTTGAGCCCCCGCGGTGTTGCGTCCGCCCGGGGCCACATGTCCCTCTCGCACCAACCTTTGCACCTTTGGCGCCGCCCGTCCCCGAGACGCCGCCACTTCCCGAGTCCCCTTTCGGGCCACGTTCCCCCTTCTCCCCCTTCTCGCCTTTGGCACCAGTGCCTGCAAGAAGGGAGAAGGGGACATCGCCACTGCCACTGCCACGGTCCTCCTAGGACTGGCCGGTGCAAAGGGGCCAAGCCACCCGGCCGGAGCCGCGTTACCTCCTGCAGCTGCCCGCAGCATCTCCTCTGTCCTGGGGCGCTCCGCTTGCGGCAGGGATCCCGCAGCGATGCCCGGCACGCTGCCCGCAGCCACGGGCGGAGAGGTGACAGGGACAGCATCCACCAGCCCTGGGACACCCTGTGCACAGGGAAGCAGGAGAGTGTGTGAGAGCAGAGCTGCTGGCCCAAGAGATGGATGCAGGGTGACAGAGACCCATGACAGGAGAGGTACTGGGCACAGGCATGTCCCTGCTACAGGGGCCAACAGCCTTGGAGGGACCTTGGACAAGGACAGACCTCCAAGATAACTATCCTGCCTGAAACGTGTCGGTAGCCAAAAGCCCTTGCAGGCTTCTCCCAGGAGTTAAGTGCTTTAACTGTCTGCCTCTGCACTTGGCCTCGGCTGAATGAGCCAACCTTCACCCTCCAGACTGCGACGGGGAGGGCAAAGTGTCGGCTGGGAGGGTTTTATGGGCAGCACCTCCTCTCCCTGGATTTCTCTGCTTCCTTCTCAAAGCGCAGACCTGCACGGACACTGTGTCCTTTCCAGAGCCACCACCGCCCGGCTCGCTCTCACGTCCTCACACGGCACCCACTGCCTCCGCGGCCGGACGCTGTTTGGATTGGGATGTGCGCTCCCAGCGCGCCAACGGCACGCTTCCAGGGCCTAATGCACAGCTGGGAAAAGGGAGGCTTAGCTATTCCCTCCGTACAGCCAGGAGCGGGAAGCCATCCAGGCTCAGCAGCTGAAATGAGAACATGCCCACGGGCTACTGGATGATCCGGCCACAGACCGCCTCCCTGCAAAGGCCTCGCAGAGTCATGAGCTTGCAGCGCCGCTGGTGAAGGACAGCGTTACTCAGCAGATAGCTGAGCATCTGCAGGGCTTGAGGAGCCACCTGGATGCAGCCACCAACACCCTGCAGCTAAAGGCAATGACCTGCAGCACCAGCTCACCCTGTCTCTTCCCAAGGTATGGCGTCCATCCTCGGCTCCGCTGCCAAAATCTCCCGAGACCTACGTTGGTCCAGGAAGAAACAGAGAAGATCAGTGGGGTGTCAGGTCCTCTCCTCCCCTGGAGGAACCCCAGTCCCCAGCAATGTTGGAGAGGCAGATGAGATCCTTATTCAACACCGAGAAACGAGGAATTCACCTCCAAAACACACATCAACCAGGTCTGGCAGCCACCTGGCACTCACCTCTTCAGCATCATCCTCCTCTTCCTCACACTGGTGCTCGGCTGCCCGGGGATCTCCTTTGAGCTTCAAGTCGGCAATCACCCCCTAGGACGAAGCACACCGAGGAGCGTCACAGATGCAGCCCCGCAACACGGGGCACAACCCATGAGAAAAATTCCTCTGCCTCCTCCGAAACCAGGCCGGCCGAGCAGAGGTCACAGCCAGGATCAAGGCAGCCAGACAGCAACATTTTTGCTGGGAATTTTTGGACGTGGTCCTCGTTTCCCCTTCTCCATGGCATGGGGAAAAGCACTTCCTCGCTACCTCGCTGCTCCAAAGAAAGGACTGCTGGCCAGCCCTGCAGCCCAGCGCAGCCCTGATTTTGTGTTTCTTAGGTTAATCCACACTTCCCCACCATTTATTTGGGTTTTGCAAGGACTGTATACAGTCCAACCACTTATTTATACAATGCAAACTCTTTACACAATGCAACTCAAAGTCTTTCATTAGAAAAAGCTGCTTCTGGGAAATCACATAATCACATTGCCCCACCGCTGAGCTACCAAAGCCAACTAGGAGAGGAGCATCCCCTCGTAGGACTCCACAGGCCGGTCCCATGGCAAACCTGGAGCTGGCAAAGTAGCAGTGAGGGCGTTGGGACCAGCAAGGTCTTCGCCTTAAAGCGGAATGCACCGTAAGCACCTCTTCTCTTTGGGAATAAACCTCCCGTGTGAGAAAACGTGTGAGCATTTCATTTTTAATTCCCTTTCTCCTCCAAGGAAGACTCAGCTAAATGATCTTGGCTATAGAGGGAACATATAACAGCTCTCCAGGAGCAAAGGAGCCTTGGGAACACAAGAGATGAGCAGAAACAGCACGGCTGTTGATGAACCATGGAGCAGCTGAGTTATGACCCTACCCTGCTCATCGAGACAGGGGGGTTATGTTCAGGTACCAGCCTGAAAACATGTTTCCATGAAGAATGAAGGTTATCCTGGGCATCTCTGGGCAAGGTTGCAACACTCACCCCATGCCAGGTCCTTCACATTGCTCAGGGATGAACAGGGCACACTGCTGCCCTTCACCTTCCCAGGACCTTCCCAGGACCAAGCTGCAGAGCTGCGATCTGGCCCGGCCACCTGATCTCCACAGGGAAGCGGAGAGCAAACCACCCTGCCAGGGGCCACCCAGCCCACAGCGGAAGCGTGCTCGCTAGCGAGCTTGGAGAAGAAAGATAACTGCCCGGGCAACGTCCTGCTTGTGCTCTCCCTCTAGATGAGACACCTAAAATAATATTTGGATTCACTTGAAAGCACAGCACCCCGTGTGCAGGGAAGATATCCGTGCTCAGGAAACACAATTTAAGAAAACAAAAGTGAGAGGCAGCTACAAGGCCAGCGAGGCTGGCTGCAAGGAGCAGGTCTAACACTCTCATGGCAGCTCCAGACAATAACCACGTGGCTCTGCCTCGTCCTTCAAGCACCCGGGCTCATGCTCCTGTTTGCATCTGCTCAGCAAACAAACAGCCCCATGGGCATGTTTCTGCAACCGCATTTCCTGAAAGCGGCCTGCCCCAAGGAACTCGCCTGGCATCCCGCCGGACACACCAGGAACAGGCAGCCTTGCGCCTCCAAGAGCACTCGGTGCAAGGCTTTTCAGAATGCCTGTGCAGTCCCAACGGCCCCTTCCGCCAAAACTGCTACTTTGGAAAGTCTTTTGGGATAGAAATCTCTACTGGAATGCAGTTAGGGCTATGGAACCAGCCCACAGCAAACACTCCTCGGGTGAGTTTTGAGCCTCCTCCAGCTTCCCAGCCCTGGTGACCAAATCCTCTCCTTCCTGCCAAGCACCAGTATCAAGCCTAAGCTGCTTCTCAGTCTGTGCCTTGATAAATGTAACACTTACCATTTGCTTTTCCGGTCCCAGGGTTCACAGGAAGCTTCAGAAATAATCCATTTCCAGCCCTGAACCAAAACATCCCCTCGAGGGATAGTTGTAAGGACCCAGCAGCCCAGATAAAGGGAGCAGCCAACATTCTTGGTCCCATTGGTCTTATCTGGCATTCAGCTGCAATCAAATCCTCCTACTGGACTACAGCCCGTGTCCCTGATAATGGTAACCTCCTGTTTTATCTGCCATCCCAAGGGCTTCTGCACTGCCTGCAAACTTCACCCTTCCAGGTTTTATCCCACTGCCCTCATCACTGACAGAACCGCTAAGCTATGACCAGAGGAAGAACAGACCCCAGGGAGACCCTGCCAGGAGCAGTCAGCCTGCCCATTAGCAGCTCTACTTGTGACTTGTCCTGCAGCCAGGTTTAATCAGCTCTACGCCCTGTTAGTTCCAGATAACACAAGTTGGGTTGGTTTATAATGGAACAAGTGTTGGGAGTGGGTACTTTTCATGCTCACTTGCTCATAGTCTTCCTCTCTGAGCCAGACCCACCATGTGTTAGAAACGTATGAGTGTTTTGGCCTCTGCTCCAGACTATTTCTCTGCATTTGCCTTCAAAACCAGGCAGGTGTTGTCCCAAACACCTTCCAATACAGGAACAAGGCATTTCTGTGTCAGTGGCCTGGCTGTCCTGGCAGGCTAAAGATTGCTCTCCAGACCCTTGATTTCCAGACCCAGGAGCCAGTGCCACACTGAGACAGCAATCCCGGAGTAATCTGGTCCTCAACCCATCAATGATTAATTCTTTCCTGAGGGAACTTTCTCTAGCCTCTCCCCCACGACTTGGTTTAGCTGAATCACAACTGCAGCGTTTCTGGCCACTGGTCAAGACAATGTTTAAGCTAAGAAATGCAATTTGCAAAGCCCAGGCACCATGGGAAAGCGTAGCTCCTTGCTTTAGAGCTGCTCTCATGGGGCAAAACATGCTCAATCTAAGACAAAGAGCAGTCTTGAATTCTACTTTCCTCATTATTGTAGGGGGATTTCCATGTTGGTTCAAGTGTGGTGCATTTTCCACACACTTTCCATAAATCTTATCTAAAACATAACTCATTCTTAAATCATGGATTCAGCTATCACCTTCTCTGCCTGCTCTCAAAAGTTTTCCTGAAGATACCATTCAAAGTCAGCCAGCAAAGATATGCTTGGGCCCAAACATTTTTTTCCAGCTAAGAGATGTATTTTACCAGCCAAATCTACAGACATTAAAGAACATGGGTATTTTTAGCAAAGTGGAGATTCAAATAGACTCTTTGCGCTGTCCCCCATGTCTGCTCTACCAGTGGCTAAAGCAAGTACAGGCAATGGTGACTGCAGCAATGCAACCCCAACCCGTCCTTCCAGCCTCCTTGCAAGCTTACCCTTGAGGAGACACAAGAAGGTAAAGTTTAATGCATCAAAAACCATCGTGACCCTCCCCAGGCTTCCTTGGCAATGATCACAAGAGCACATTCACTGGCTTAACCTCTGGGCACACAGAAATCCAAGGTTCAGCATAGCCTAATGTCACAGCTCTTCAGTTTCAGACAAGTTTTCTCTCAAACTGATATGGGGCAATCTGAGGCCTTACCTGGTATTTATCTGGGTCAGCTCCTCCAGCCTGAGCCACGAAGAGCCCAGAACCATCTTCCAGCTCCATCTCATCCGGGGAGCGCTCGAAGCGGACCCGCTCGTGCTCCTCACAGTCCAGGTAGAGGACGACCTCGTCCTCCTCCACGCTGATGGCACTGGTTCAGCGGGGTGGGCACGGCGAAGGTGGCCGCCGCGTAGGAGCTCTTGGAGCCTGGCTCTGTGTAGTAGAAGATGATCTGCTGCTTACCCGCCCGCAGCTCCGAGAGCTTGACGCCCACATAGATGATACTCTGCAATGAGTCTGTGATGGCAAAGAGCACGCCGGCCCGGGGGGTGGTGGGCTGGATGTGGAACAGGAGAGAAAAGTCCCGGTAAAAGGGGCTTGGCAGGTGGTACCGGGCCACCTGGCCTGTGTTGGCATTGGGTCCAAAGACATAGCCTGGGTTGTTGTCGGGGCCGTAAATTTTTTGGATCTCCTCTGGCGGGGGGTCTCCGATCAGCTCCAGCAGGCTGACTTCTGTGCTCAAATTCTCTGCAAGAGAAGAGAAAGATGATGGTGGCCTGATGGTGTCACACACCCTCACCCGGACACCCCTTAGCAGGTCTTCTTTCTCCTAGTGTCCTGGGTACTTCAGCACGCCAGCTCACCTGCTGGACCAGAGCGCATCACCTCTGGAAGGACAACTGAGGGCCACCCTCTTCCCACACCAGGCAACATGCCCTCCTAATGCGACCTCTTTATGGGACCCGCTTTTGCAGCTCCAGGGACACGTGAAGGAGAGGGAAACTGCCAGGCCCAAGACCAGGGATGTCATGCCATGATGAACTCCATTTTACGTATCAGCTGCTGACCCCAAAAACTCCACCACGCCGAAGGAAACATTTCATTCAAATGCTCATTTCATCTTCATTCTTTCAAACCTTTCAAACCAATTAAATAATAGCTATATATATATATATATATGTCACTGAAGTGACACCAATGTTCATCATCTCTAAAGAGACATTTTGATATTCAGTAAATTCACCCCCAGCTTCAGCCCTGTTGCCTGAACAGCTTTGACCCTGTGCTCCTCAGATGCTGCTTTTCAGTAATTTCCTCTGCCCCACCTTCCCAGGGCTCATCCGAACCGCCCCACTGTCTGGCCTCCAAAGCTACATGATGACAGGCAGGGATTTTCCCCAAGGAACAAGAGGAATTTTTACATGTGGGAATGGGAGGAGGAGAGCAGACTCAGGTCTCCCGAGGGCCATAGACAATTTGCAGCCCTTCCAGGGCCTACTGGACCTTTCTGCCTCTGCGCAGGCTGCTGCCGTGGCCCTGGCCAGCCTCTGCCCGCGCCGATTCAGACGTGCCGTGTGTGGCACGTACGGCCAGTGGGGCTGGGAGCGAACCCCGGGAACGCGATGCCTTGCGAGGGCCTGTGCATCGTCACAGAACAGACCAGCATTGGGATGATCCCGCGGGATGCGTGAGGAAATGGGCATCTTCCCATGCTCCTGCAAATGTGCGGCATGGCCTACTGCTGTATTTTTTGGCAGGTCCAAGCTTCCAGGAGTCCCAGCACGGCTCATTCATGAGGATACCACTAAAAACCATGGAGGATAACTTCCTAACCACCCAGGGAATACAAGCAAACTCAAGGCAGGCCAAACAGCAGGACTTGGCTCTCCCTTCACTTTCTCTGCCAGCACTGCCCAGCTGCTGGCAAGGAGGACATCCTTACATCAGCATCCCCCAGTCGTAGGTTGCCCCTGGTCTTGGAGGCTTCGTTACACAGCAAACAGCGGAGAGACTTACAGGAGATCTGGGGGCTGGATGGAAAATGCAAGTTCCTCTCGCAAGGAGACTAGAGACCTCTGCTGAGGACCTCCCTTGACCCCATCGTGTCAGACAGCTCTTTGCCAACCATGAACGTGGCACCGGGTCACCAGGAGGGTGGCAGTTACAGCGCAGACGCTGCAGGCTCCCCAAGCATCTCCCATTGCAGAACTCGCATCCACGTGCGCCCGTGCACCAAGAGGACACGCATGGCCCCTGCTCTCATCCAGCCCCAGGGGCAGCACCAAGCGCTCGGAGGCAACCGGCCGCCGCGTTCCGCCTGCGGAGCCACGCGGAAGCGAGCTGCACGCGTGCCTGCGCCTTCTGCGGGGGTCACGGCGACCCCCACGTGATCCCACCCCACGGGAGGCTCCGGGACGTGCAGCTGCGGAGCAGCTTGCAGGGTCATCCTTGCTGGGAATAAATCACAGCCTTCCCACTAGCAAGCTCCCATTGCACTGCCTGGGAAAGCGTCTCGGGTTGACGCTCCCCATCTCTGCCCAGTCAGCTTCCCAGATGCTCTCAATTTTAAGATCAGCTTCTTTTCTGACTCTTTTTCTCAAGGCACTTTAGGGAGTTCTGGTCAGAACGGTCTCTCCTACCAGGCACAGCTGAACATCTGGCCACGCAAGTCAGCCCTCTGTATGTAAACTCCTGTTGTTTTGGCAGCACACACATCCTCATCGCCCACACAACGGGTGCTGGATTCTTCCTTTCCTATGTCAACCTCTCGGGCTGGTGCCAACGGGGTTGTTTTACTCTGGTGCTTTTTAACTCCAGGTTTCCCAGGAGCAAGGGAATCCACCAGCAATTCCTGCACACGCGCTGCCCCGCAGTCCGCACGGTCCCCATCTCTGCCAGATTTCTTCTCGAGGTCATTGCCACTTCTGGGAAGAAACAGTCCAACCAGCAGAGCCTGAACCCAGAAGCTGGAGAGAGGTCAGGACCTGGACCTAACTTAGCCCCTCCAGTCAGGAAGTTTGGTGTCAGCTGCAGCCCCCCATCCCCAAGGTGGGAATAAGAGGAGCTTCTGGCAAGAGCTGAGAAAATTCAATGTCCCCCACCCCTTCCCTGCTCCTTGTCACAACAAGTGAGGGGATTGCAGAGCAGAGGTGTGCTGAGCCCAGGGAGAAGCCATCAGGCAGTGGTGGAGGAGGCCAGGAACCTACACGCTGCTCTGCAGTCAGGTATTTTCCTCTAGAGCTCTTAAAATTTAAGAAGAAATCAGCCCAACCCTGCCCAGCCCAGAAGGAAAACATGTCTTTTGGGACAGTGGGAGGAGACAAAACCCCTGGTGCCTCTTCCAGCGCCTGGAGGTACCTGCACAGCTGGCAGGAGTCCACCCAGCACAGGCAGAGCATCCCCACCCTCCCACGGCTGCTGAGTCACCAAGGCCGGGGCTGGCCCCATGACAGGGCGGCAGGAGGGATGCTGGAAATACTGGGGATTAGTGCAACCGAGGGGGTTCCTTACCAGAAAACCTTCAGTTCTCCCCGTCTGGGTGCACAGCTTGGAATCTGTTCCGTATCCCACCACCCCAAATCCCCCACAAGTCATCAGCGACTGACTCCAAAACTGTTACCCCAAAACTGAGCACCCAGGTGTGAGGAAACCTCCTTCCTTGTCTTGCATCCGCTTCAAACATCCTGCAACGAGATCGGGCTTCCCTAGGGGAGCATCGTCACCCCACGCCACAGGGAAGGACCCCAGTGCTCTCCTGCGGCCCCTGTCCTTTACACAAACCTCACGCGAATGTCACGCAAGCCCAGGAGCGCCCGTGCTGCGGCGAGCTCCGCGCCGTCCAGCGCCACAGGCCGTCCCTGCGGCACGCAGGAGGGAACGCCGGCCAAGCGAGCCCCGCGAGGCTGCGGGGATGCCGCAGGGAGGTTTATCTTGGGTCGGAGGCAGCCAAACTCGGAACAGCTTTAAGCCTAGAGGAAATCCGAGGTTCCTCCCACGGGTCCGGACAGGCTCAGATGGGTCTAAGAGCGACTGTTGCAACGTCTGCATCCGGACAACCTATCCTCTGCCTTTGAGCCTTTGGTGAGGAAGGCTGAAAGAGGCTTTTGTTAGCAATGCAATTTGCAATCATGTTTTCCCTAGTGTTTTAACTGGCTCAGGGATCCCCCCTCTGCTCCTCTCCAAATGCACCGCTTGTTCCCTGGCTTGGAGCTGGAGCCGGGCAACGATACAAGAAGGTTTCTCAAAGACAACAGATTGCGTCTTTCCCATGCACAACATGCAAACAAACGTGGGGCCAGGGATGCAAAGCTGGAGGGAGCCTGGGGAGCAGGCGGTAATGGGACACCCCTTCAAACGGATGCCCCCCTTCAAAGGGTGATGCTCTTGGCAGGTACCAGGCCCTGGAGGCATAAGGATCCCAACCCAACTTGCAGGAAAGCTGTGCTGGCAGGAGACTTGTGTGCAGCAGAGCCAAGGCTGCCTCCCGCGCAGGGAGCAGCCAGCTGTCCTGCTGCGTGACCTCAGGCAGCTCGCGTACGGCGGGAGGGACGCGCACGGCCCTGCGAGCTGCAGCTTTGCGAGCGCCCCGAGATCCCTCAAACCAGATCAACGGGCTCTTTCCAGCAAGAGAGTCTGGGGGAAAAATCAATCTCGGCCAGCAGCGCTGGACCACTGTCCCTGTCACTTAAAGGCACCAGAGCTCACAGCTGCTCTGGGCTCTGTGATCAGTGTCCCATTGCCCCACATGCGTTGTCTTTTCTCCGCACACGCAGTTACCAAGAACGAGGATAACCCTGCTCAGCTGCCCGGCCCCCTCACTTGGGCCCCACAGCCCCTCTGGGCGCCCTCCCAGCCCACCGCAGAGCAAGGGGTCCCAGAGCCTGCAGGAAAGGCCTCGATGTCCTGGAGCCGGTGCCATCACCAAACAGGGACACCGACGGCTCCGGTCCCACGGCGGGAAAGGAGGCGCCGTCGCTGTGATGGCCTCACGCCGGCACGGCGCCCGCGCGGGACCGTCTGGGGCTGCGCCAGCGCACCGGGACGCGCGCCTGGATGCGCCAGCGGCTGCAGGGCGGGACGGGCCCTCTGCCAGCGAGAAATCCTCGTCCAGGCCCGAACCCTAGACTCTTCCAGCGCTGCTGACTACAATGCAATATTGTGCTCTGGCCTCTAGCAGCTGGAAGTGTTACAAGAACAAATACCAGCAAGAAATGAGATATGGCGCAGTTATTTTGCCCCTGAGCCAGTGCCATTATCCAAGGGCTGACTTGCTGCAAGGTCCCGACTTGCTGAAACGCCCGGCCGTGCGCGGGAGAAAACCCACACACAGCCCCTTTCCAAACCAGAGCCCTTTAAGCCACAGCACCCAGAGCCTCATGGAAAGCAGCACAGACCAAATATCCCACTCACATCAGTCCCCCCTGTCCCCAGGGCCAACCACCAGCACCTGCCTCAGACCACAGGAGACACCTCCATGGGCTCCAGGCTGGAGCTTGTTGCAGCCAACCTGAGGGGTTGCTGGATGCTGCAGGGATTTTTGGTAGAGGCAGTATGGACCTTTCTAGCGCTGCCCTCAGTGGGGTGGCCGCAGAGCTGGCGCCGAGGAGAAGGCAAAGCCCTCGGGCAGCGGGCACATCCGTGGGATGCCGAGCGGCTCTGCGGGGACGTCTCCAGCCTGATGCAGGCGCCAACCGCATCCCTCCGCTTTCGGCTAAAGCACCTCGCTGTTATGTCCCTAGAGGAACCTGGGAACTGAGCACTCACTTCAGCCTGCAGTAAACCCTCCCCAGGGATGGCTCCCAGCTCTGAGCCGCCGGCCCTTGGAAGGCGCTGACAGGACACAGGGAGTGCGGCACCTCGGCCAGGCCCCGACACCTGCTGTCCTGCTGCTCCGCATCCCTCTCTCCACACCAAGCATCTCAGCACCACCAGGACGGCAGAGGGACCCACACGAGCAGGAGCGGACACCTCTCAAGCCCCTCATCGCACCCCGCAGCACCGCGCAGCACCGCGCAGCACAGCGTGCTACGGCCCTGCGCTGCTGCCTGCCTCCTCGGGACGGCAGACAGCGCTGAGCCTCGATGGGCCTTCTGGCTTCCCTGCTGCCGAGTGTCTGGGAACTCCAGGCGAGCGTTTTGGTGACGCCCTCGTGTCACCCTGAGGGACTGCCGGCAAACAGTGCTGCTTTAACAGCCAGGGCGGAGGGGTCAGGGCCCGGGGGAGCCATCCTCCCTGCATGTGTGCATCCCTTGTCTGCTGGTCCCCACTAATCACCTCTCTGAGGGCAGCCGGTGCCTTTCAAGACAGCCTCGAGGCCATCTGAGCTTGGCAGCCCCAGGATTTCACCCAGCAGGACCAGGCTCTGGTGCGGGAACACAGCCTCATTCAGAAGCTCATCTCAGCACGTCAGCATTAGGACGTCAGGAGGGAGAAACACACAGGGAGAGTGGCAGAGCGAGGCCGGGCACAGCAAGATGCCTCCCCAAAATGTTTGAGAGCTGCTCTAAATCCATTAAATAAGAGCACTAAAGGCTCCTCTGAACATGATGGCTGGTCCAGTTATGCACTGCTCAGAGCTGGACTACCATGCCTAACGGTAGCCAGGAGTCAGTGTGCTGGGTGTTAACCCAGAAGTCCCGGGAGAACAAATAGCACTTTTGGTGGAAAATGAAGGTACTACCTAGCACTCCAGTGCCATTCCTGCCCCATTTTCCCAGCACATTCTGCTTCCTTAACAATCATTTCTGCTCTGACACCTGGACACACATTCCTATTGCTCTGAAGAGCATCCACAGTCTGTCTTCCCCTTTATCTTCTCCCCTGTAAAGTGAGTTTGTCTGAATGTTGAAAGGGTCAAAATCACCCAACAACGGAAGTTGGGCACAAAACTGAGTTCCAAGCAGAGGGGATCAAACATTAGCCGCATGTAAATCATTAACCCCGAGGCAAAGGTGCTTGGGCAGCTTGAGAAGAGAAGAGCAAGCACATGCATGTGCATGCAGGGTCACAGCCCCCACCCCAGCCCACAAGGCGCTTCCTTCAGCGCCTGCTGAAGGTCACCTTGAAGTATCCCCAATGCCATGGCTGCTCTGCGGTGAGACCGAGCCAGCTCCCAACGCTGAACTGGTCAGGTGGGCACAGGGAAGAGAGCCTGGCACTTCCCAGAGCAAAGACAACAGAACCCGAGCTCAGCTGCAGGGAAGCTAGAGCTGACCCAAACACATGCCCATTGGGAAGCTCAATGGAGCCAAGCAAGCCCAGTTCTGCCAACGCCTGGCTCCCAAGGTGAAAGGAGACTTGATATGCTGCAAATTTCTGCTTTCCTGATCCCTGGACCCCCAAGAAAGGCAATAGCTCAAGTCATGGTCATATCACTGTGATGGGCAACGCTGCCTGCAAACCGGCCCTGGACACAGGCATGGACACGAAGCTGCCACGTGTGCTCAGGGGGCACCCCAAGGACAGGACAGGGATGCTCAGCCTGGGAGAGGGAGCCAGAAACCAAGAGCAGTCGCTACGTGGAAGAGATGACGCTGGACGGACAGGGATTTGGACAGAGGTCTCAGCAGCACCACACAGCGACAAGGGAAAATCATCCCTTGTTGCTTTCCAGCCGGCACAACCTACCTGGCAGCACCGCAACCCCCCACATTGCAGGGTGATTTTCCCCCAAATCAGAGTTGGTTGCCCTGTCTCTCTATGCCCGCGTACCCACCCTGCCACTGCCTGAAGGAAATGGGGGAGAGTCTGCACCAAAGCTGCATCGTGGGGAGATGATGACCCAAGCAGAGATGAGCAAAGGGGTGATGCAGGAGCAAGGCGAGAGGCTACCGTGTCTCCCAGATCTTAGCCTGCTGAGAAGCCAGGTCTTCTGGGGGGACAGGTACCTGCTGTATCAGGAGCTCCAACCTGCCCCCAGGAAAGCACAGCAAAGGATATATACCCTCAAACACCCTGAAAACACAGGGTATCTTACCTGCTGGGGCTTGGGGAGGGACACACACACAAAAACAGAGATTACCCAGCCACATTACCTGCAGAAACGTTAATAAAGACACAAGAATACCCTCCGTCCTCCGCAGGCAGCGAGTCGCATGGCAGAGGCAGGTGCCCAGCGGCCAAGTGCATCCAGCAAAGGTCTCTCACAGCCTCGCAGAAGCCCTGGCACGGAGGGGGGGTTATGGGGACAGAAGCGTTACACCCAGGGACCAGGAGCAAGCAGAGAAACCACTCCAAGTAGCGGTGACACCGGGATTTAAGCAGCCCCTCCCACTCATGCAAAGCATCCCGAATTTCCACCTCACTGCTGTGGCCGAGATAATTTGGCAATCTGAAATGCTTGGTGCCCAAAATGGCACAGGAGGGCAGGCGGGCTGGGAAGGGCAGGCAGCGACCGGCCTCTGGCGTCAGTCCGGGAAAGAAGGAAGCAAACCCAGCACCGTTACTACTATAAAGTCGCAGAGTGGAGGTTAGTAAATCAAACTCGAGAGGATCAGAGTTATCGGCAGGAGGAAAGTCCACGTCATTAGTTGCATTCCCGTTAGGAGAAGAAGGCCTTCGGGTCCCGTTAACACCAGTTAGCGCCAGCCCCCAGCGGCCAGCCGGTCGTCCAGCGCCTTGCAACACTTGGCTGCTGCTGCTACGTTTCAGGCTCTGGTCCCCTGGCAGGGTGGCACTTGGAGCAGCACGGGGCGGCCCGTCTCGCGTGCCAGCGCGAGGGGACAGCTCCAGGTGTTCTGCAGCGCGTGGCATGGCCGGTGCTCCATGTCGGGCCCGGAAAGGCGCTACGTGGGCCGGCTGTGCTTTGGGGCTTCCTAAGCCCTCTCCTGGGAAGGGCTCCTGAGGAGGTGCCACCTGCTCGCGGGCACCGTCACCTGGTGGGAAAGGGAAAGGAGCACTACCTGGACGGGGTGTCACTGGCCTCTGCAAAGACACCCGAGTCCCACTCTGTTCGCTCTGCGGCAGCGTGGGCTCGGGGAGCACCAGCTCAGGTCCTGTCGTCGACGGGGGGCTTTCAGTGGAGTTGCTGGTCGCATCCTGCCCACGTTCGGGCGCCATGCTGGGAGGAGCTGCCGTCGAAGCGATGCTCGTCGGTGGTGCTGTGCTCTCTGGTGTCCCTGTGATACCACTGTCCTCCGGCTCAAGTCCACCGCGGGTGCCGTCAGCTGCAAGCAGGAGCTCCATGCTGGACACGCTCTTGTTCTCTGCAGGCACCACCGTGCCGGACATGCTCTCACTGCCCGCAGGCAACACCGTGCTGGACACGCTCTCATTCCCTGCAGGCACCGCTGTGCCAGACATGCTCTCATTGCCTGTGGGCACCGTCACACCGGACACGCTCTCACTGCCTGTGGGCACCGCCGTGCTGGACACGCTCTCATTCCCTGCAGACACCGTCACGGTGGACACGCTCTCACTGCCTGTGAGCACCGCTGTGCCGGACACGCTCTCGTTCCCTGCAGGCACTGTGGTGCTGGACATGCTCTCACTGCCCATGGGCACCGTCATGCCAGACACGCTCTCGCTGTCCGTGGGCACTGCCGTGCCGGACACGCTCTCATCCCCTGCAGGCACCGCCGTGCTGGACACGCTCTCATCCCCTGCAGGCACCACCGTGCTGGACATGCTCTCACTGCCCACAGACTCCATCGTGCCAGCACTCAGCTCCTCGCCCTGCAGGCTGGCGACATCCCCTGAGCCCTCCTCATCCTGCGCCACCATCCCCGGGGAGCTGCTCGTCTGGGGAGCTGTTGGAGTGGAGAGCAGCCCCGTCACCAGCTCAGATGCAGCAGTTCTCCCTGCAGGTGCTAGGGGTGTCCTTGAGAGCCTGGAGCCACCCCAAAACCAGTTCAGGAGCTGCGCTTCGCAGTAGCAGCCACAAGCCAGAAACAGCAGAAAGCCCAGGCAGCCTGAAGCCGGAGCCATTCGGAGGAGAGGAAAACAGAGGGAACCAGAGGAAAAACAAAATTAAATAATAATAATTAAAAAAAAAAAAAAGTAAAGGCAAAGCAGGAGTTTTGCCCCACGCGGACGCCCGGACGCTCACATCGGTCTCTCCTCCCCAGCTCTCCTGCACAATCCCTCCAGCAGAGCAGCGGGAGGAGTGGCTCCGCGGGGCCGGCTGAGCCGGGCCCTCCTCTCCCAGCGCCGGCCTCCCTCGCGTGACACCCCCGGCAGGCACGTCCCCTGCACGGGTGACACGGCTCTGAGGCCAGGGACCCACCTGAGCCCTTCCAGAGCTCTCCCAGCCAGGTCAGCCCCTGCGCTCCCTCCTCCTCAGCGCACCCTGCGCTGCACCAGCCAGCAGCTGCTTTTAACTCCTTCCTACCCAAAATCCATCCCGGAGACGACCTTTCCCCCCGTGGCAGCTCTAGCCATTGAACAGGCTGTCCCATGCACACAAGGGGTCACAGGCTGCTTGTGGACACGGATCCTGTTGCCTGGCCCAGCTCGGGGCAGCCCGCAGAAACCTGCGGGGCCAGCCCGCAGAAACCTGCTCCCCTGCGCAGGGCGGCTCCGGCCTTCTCGGAGGTCAGGCCAGCTTCCCAGACGGCCAAGGAGCCTCCAGCTGCAGCCATCCGCGCTCCCCGCCGGCTCCTGTCCTCATCTGACATCCCCTCTCCAGGAGGAGCCCCGCCAGGAAGCCCTCTGGCAGTCAGCGCTCTGCCTTCCCCTCCAAAATCTTGCGCCGTGGGATTCTGTCGGGAGACCCGCTGCGGGAACAGTCACGCGGTCACCCTGACAGGGCTCCAAAGGGTCCGCTGCAATTCGGCTCTGACACCCTTCTCTCCCAGATCCCGCGGCCCCTGGACAGATCTGCCTCACCTGCTGGCAGCGCTGCCCCAGGCTCGGGGCTAACCCGCATGGGTTATGATTCCCAAGTGGCATCAAGAGAAGAGAAACATCCCAGAAAACCCTTCCAAGATTTCCGCTGTTGGGAAACACAGCAAGTCTGAAGAGCTTTTGAGACACTTTCCTGGTTCCACTACATGTCCAAGCGATGTGTCCAAGATGTTACCAAGCGAGCCAGGAGCTGCGGCGGGGCACAGGTGAACCTCCCTGGCTCACATCCCGCTCCAGATGGGTTTGGGAGCCAGGATCTCAGTGTTCTACCCTTTAGCACTCAAAAAGCCACTGCATTTGACAGACGCCAGCTTTGAAAAAATCTCTGCTGAGCAGCTCGGCAGTGGCTTTTTCCCCTCCAAGAGGAAAGGCGCCAAACCCACTGCTCTGCTCGCAGAGCCGCTGGCCACGGGGGAGCAAGCTGAATAAAGACAGCAACAGGCTTTTCTGACCTCTCCGGCCAGCATGTGCCAAGATCCAAGTCCTTTGCTCTCCCTATCATGCCAGCCCCTCCACAGGATCCTACCTGACTCACCCAACCCATGTGTCCTGGCCAGGAGAACATCAGTGATGGCTTCAGCTGTGGCTTCCCTGCATGGACAAGGCACACTGGTGGCTCAGGCACTCTCCAAACATGTTAAAAGGCTGTAGATGAGGAGCTGTGGGGGAGGCTGCACTCTCAGGCTTCCCCCATCCCCATAGCTGCCTGCCTGGGAAAGCCTGGGCCTGGGGTAGACCCCCTGCTCTGCATTTCCACTGCCAGCACATTGCAGGAAGGGATTTTGCTCTTCCTCTTCTCTACTTTTAGAGAATAAACGGAAACAGAGTCAAAAGTACAATGCAGCTCACTATCACTTAAAACAACAAAAAGAGGCAAAAAATATGCAGGAGAAGAATGAAGAATGAAAAAAAAAAGACAACTTCTAGCTACATAAAACATTTTCCATCCTAATTTTTTAAGCATGACATGGGCATTTCGATTAAAATACTAGTCAGCAGGGCAATGATGCTGTGCCAGCTCATTTGCCCCAAAACCAATGTTATTACAAGGGCATTTGGTGGAACAGATCTCCCCAAACCATGAAACGGCCTCCTGCTAATCTAATAGGGGACGCATTTTTGTCCCTATGGCAAAG